TCAGGACGGCCCATTGGTCTCTGGCGTGGTCATCGGGGGGGGGGGGGGGGAGGCTGCTGGATGTGTCATGAAACAGGATGGACAGAAAAACGGCAGCTGGGATGGAGACGAGGCTAGCGGTGGTGGACGGGCCGAGCAGCTGGTGCCGTGGCCCCCCAGGTGTGTGTGAGGCCATGGCGGCACGTGAGTCCTGCTGGCCACACGGTGAGCTTCATTAGAAGGGCCTTCATTACGGGCCACTCTTCATTATGAAGGCGGAAGACGCCGGGCTCCCGGGATGGCAGATTAATAAGGACGGCGGTGTATTTTAAGCCGTAAACTCCGCCGCTCACCCCGTCCTTAATCTCCTTCCACTTCACAGGCCAAATTAACACCTCTCCTCAGGTCTGACGGGACCTCATTAACAAACTTCCCGGGAAGAAAAGGGGAGGGATGGCGAGGGGGGGCACAGGGGGACCAGCGACAGCCGCCCGCGCCTCACATTAACCCTTCACTGCCCGCTCTGCTGAATCTAGGTCGCCAGTGGTTTACTAATCAGTCGGCTGGATAGCAGTAATTAGCGGCTCAAGCACAGCGGGATGGGAGGGGCGTGCCGTAATGAAGTGGTGGGGGTGGGGGCCACTAGGGTCCCGAGCAGCACTTCAAAGGGATGGAGCTCTCCTTTCAAATCGGAATAGGTGCTAAAGCTAGCGGTACCGCAGCAGCAGGGGAAGGTTCTAAGGGGGTAGCTGAGCCTGTGGGTGGCAGGAAAAGGTTCTCAGGGCGTGGCTGAGTCTGCCAGGCAGCCGGATATGGTTCTAAGGGTACAGCTGAATCTGCAGGCAGCAGAGGAAAGTTTGAAAGGTATGGCTGAGCCTGTGGGCAACAGGAGAAGGAGTTATAGGTGTGGCTGAGCCTGCGGGGGCAGGTGAAGGTTCTAAGGGCAGAGCTGAGCAAGTGAAGGTTCTAAGGGTATGGCTGAGTCTGCAGGCAGCAGGGGAAGGTGGAGAGATTATAAATAAGCGACATTCCTGTTCTGTCACTGCACAAAAGCCCAGTGATGGCGGGGAAATTAATTAAAGTCCCCACTCTTTTCATATCGTTTGTGTTTTGAGCACATCAAGTTCGAGGCGTGAATCTGGCCCCACACCACGGTTGAGACAAAGACGTCCGTGGCCCAAAGCCTGATGGGAAGGCCAGTGGGCTGCTTCCATCCCTCAGGACAGCTGTAATGCTTCAAACGTTGAATCCTGTGTCGCTGTTCTCAAGCTTATCATACTGGACCAGCTTAGCATCCTTCAACAAAGAACATCATCCCCACCCCGTGAGCAGCACCGAAACTCAAAGGACGACAAGCCTGACAGGTCTCCCTGTGTATATTCCGGTGATTTCCAATGAATCTGAGACGTGGGAGCTCTGTGACCCCCACCTCAGTGCTTTCCTCTGCTACCGAACGACTGAGCAGGAGCGCCAAAGACCATCTTAGTGAGGAAACCGGATTCTGGGGCTGACCGCACCCCCCGGATTAGGGCCCCGGGACTTGACACCCCCCAGGCACGGCCCGTAACCAGGCTCACCATTGTGATTTACGACCCCAGTTTAATGGGTAGAGAGAAGCCGCGCTCAGATCGGGTGACGGCTGCAGCGGGATGGCTATCAGACAGCGTTCCACAGACGCACCATCCGGATAGAGTAATGAGCAGCCCCCCCCGGTCCCCCGCGAGACATCTGATCGCCCGCTGACAGGCGGACAGCACTCACCTTCAAGGAAACAGAAGTGGCTGAGAGCACGAAATCGGGTTTGGAGGAAATAGACGCCGATCCGAGGT